TAGCATATGATCAAGAGCCAATGGTACTGAAGGAGGAAGTCCAAGATGCATTGAAGGAATTGTCAAAGAACAAGGCTCCAAGAATTGATGGAAAAAAATTTGAAATCTTTCAAGAAAGTGAGGCGGCACAGGAGGCACTCACTCATCTATGCCAAGAAATTTGAAAGACAACTATCTCGCCAAGTGATTGGAAGAGATCCGTATTTGTGCCCAATACAAAGAGAGGTGACCCAACAAAATGCAAAACTCATCGGACAATATCTTTGATATTCCATGCAAGTAAAGTTTTACTAATGATAATACAGAAATGGCTGCAAGCATACATTGACAGAGAATTTCCAGAGGTTCAAGCCGGATTGAAAAGAGGCCGTGGAACGAGAGATATCATTGCTGATGTCCGATGGATCTTAGCTGAAAGCAGAGAATACCAGACAGATGTTCACCTGTGCTTTATTGACTACACAGAGGCTTTCGATTGTGTGGATCATGACAAGCTATGGACAACATTGTGAAGTATGAGTATTCCTGAACATTTAATTGTGCTCATGAGGAATCTGTACATGACTAAGAGGCAGTTGTTCAAACAGAATATGGGAACACTGAATGGTTTAAAATTAAGAAAGGTGTGCGACAGGTATTCCTTCACCATACTTGTTCAACCTGTATGCTGAGCAAATAATCCGAGAAGCTGGGTTATATGGAGAAAATGTCGCATCAGGATTGTAGGAATATTCATTAACAACCAGCAATATACAGATGATACAACCTTGCTTGCTGAAAGTGAAGAGGACTTAAAGCATTTACTGAGGAAGATCAAAGACCACAGTCTTCGGTATGGATTGCATCTTAATGTAAAGAAAACAAAAATCCTCACCACTGTACCAATAAACAATATTCTAATCAATGGAAAAAAGATTAAAGTTGTCAAGGACTTCATTCTTCTTGGATCAACCATCAACACTCATAGAAGCAGCAGTCAAGAAATCAAATGACATACTGCATTGCGCAAATCTGCTGCACAAGACCTTTTCAAAATGTTGAAGAGCAAAGATGTTAGCTTGAGGACTAAGGTGCACCTGACCCAAGCCATAGTATTTTCAAAAACCTCATCTGCATGCAAAACCTGGAGAATATTGAAAGTGCCATGGGACCAGTTGCTGGAGGAAAATATCATGTTTGGTAAGGTGGAGGGTCAGAGAAAAAGAGGAAGACCCCCAGCGAGATGGATTGGCAAAGTAGCAGCATCAATGGGCTCAAGCATGGCAACAATTGTGAGGTTGGCCCAGTACTGGGTAGTGTTTCATTCTGTTGTGCATATGGTTGCTATGAGCCAGCACTACCTAACCACAACGAAGAGGAATTATGTCCCAGAATATGCCACAATATAGATGAACCTAGAGGGCATTATGCTGGGCACAATATGCAAAAGGACAAATACTGGATGATATGGCTTATATGAAATAAGCAAATATATAGATGCCAAAGGCAGTGAGTGCTTGCCAGAGGTACAGGGAGGGGAAAGAGCAGGTTTTGCTTAGAGTGCACTGAGTGTATGTTAATGGTGGTGGGACAATTTGGAAAGAGATAGTGAGAATGGCTGCACAGTGTGAAGTGTGTAATCAATGCCCCTGAAAGGTACAAGTAGAAATCGATGAAGTGCTCAATGTTCAATCATATGTATATCATTATAATAATAACAACATAATAACACTATCATCATAATAAAGCAAACTGCTCATCCCTTTTGGACCTGCTCTTGCAGAAACCCACAAGAGAAGGAGGAATCAAAGTTTCCACACACGGCCTTTCATAATGGGGAGAAAGAATGGATTTACCTGGAACAACTTTCTGTTCTGATAAGGTTCGCAGACTAATTTTTCAACATTCCCACCAAGGAAAAAGGTAAGAATCACGATGATCATCAAGAGCCAGCAAACAAGGAAGCTTATTCCAACTCCTCTGAAAATAAAAAAGAAAAAGTAAAACACATTTGACAAGAAATGATTCAGTTATTCAGAGGTCAATCTGACTTGCCATGTGCTTGTGGCCATTAGAACCTCCTCTTTGGTGAAATGTCCTTTGTCTATTTTTCATTGTATTGCTGCTCTTGCTGTTAAGCTACTGGTGATGGTGGTGGTGGTTATGTTCCATGGAATCGGTTCTGACTCATAGTGACCCTGCAGAGGGTTTCCGAGACTGTAAGTCTTTAAGGGAGCAGAAAGCCTCATCTTTCTCATGTGAAACTGCTGGTAATTTTGCACTGCTGACCTTGAGGTTAGCAGTCCCGCTGGTAACCACTACATTACCAAAGCTACTTTGCTAAGCTTCCTTTTTCTACCTATGAAGCATATACAATGGACCTGGACTCTAGCTTTTCCCACATGTACCAGGTGAGCCCTGCCAGGAGAGAATGAAGAGTGGCAAATGCAGCCATCTGTCCCTGGCACATCACACCTGAATCCTCACAATAATTCATCTCTGGTCTACCGCCAGTCCAGCATGGTGGTTTAGACCTTGAGCGTTGGGGTCAGTTGAGTGAACCCAGGCTTTCTGACGAAGACACAGTGGGAGGGAAGGAAATGTACACTGAGAAAGAGCCGGCATAGCTGGTGTGTAGCCAGGAGAGATGGCAGAAAGATTGTGGATGGTGGAGAGACAGTGGAAAAAGCCTTGAATGATAGAGAGATACTGGAGAGAGATGTGAATGGTGGCTGGAGAGAGGGTGGAAAGAGCTGTGGATGGAGCTGAGAGGGTGGAAAAGGCTATGAAGGCAGAGGAAAGGCAAACAGGTGTCAGAGAGAGCCGTGAATGATGGCGAGATGCTGTGAATGGTGGAGAGATGCCATGAATGGCAGACTCTGAGATGCCTCTGAGTGAACACAAATCGCCAGACTATCAGTTAGCAACTGATTGTGTTAACTGTTTGCTCTACCCCAATCCCAAAACACCCTACTGCGAATCAATTCTGACTCATTGCGACCCACTAGGACACAGCAGAACTGCCCCATAGGGTTTTCAAAGCTATGATCTTTAGAGACGCAGAATGCTGCTTCTTTCTACCATGGAGCAGCTGGTGGGTTCCAGACTCCGACCTTTGGGTTCGCAGCCAAATGTTTTAGCCACTATACCACTGGGGGTCCTTCTGAAATACCCAAGAACCCCCAGAAAACACTGGGCCAGAAAGGAGTTTGGGCTCCCTACCAGCCTTCCTCTCAGCAGATCATTCATTAGCATTCTTTTGGAAGAAAAAGATCCTTGCTTGGTGTTGTTTACTGATGCCCTAATCTTGACTGGGCAGTGCCACCATGTGTAAAGTGCAGGTGCTGTGTGGCTGCAGCAGAGCTCAATACACTCTTTCTGGTTTCTGCGAGCAAGTAAACACCTTTAAAGACAACACTGCATTCTTCCAATTAGTCTGATTACACTTGCATCATTTCCCCCTTTGCAACTCTCCAGCTGCTTATTCTTGCAAGTACACCAAAGTACACCATAGCTCAGTGGTGGGGTCCAACTATGAAGCAATCAGAGCGACCCTAGGTCTACAAACCCCATGAAGTGAATCTAAGATCTTAGAGTTATCAGGTGTTTTCCTACTGTACCAAGAAGTTCTCTCCTTCAAGTCCTAGCTCCCTAGTTCCATGTGATCTGTCTCTCTGTTTTTGTTAAGTGTCGTCAAGTCAGTTCCAACTCATAGCGACCTTGTGAAGAGTTTCCAAGGAGAAGTTGGTGGGTCTGAACTGCTGACCTAGCGATTCACAGTCCAGTGCTGACCCTAAAGCGCCACACCAGGAGTCCTTCTGCCAGCGTGAGTGTCATATGTAAGTTCAGGTTTCTTTCAGATTCCCATCAATTTGTTCATGAGTGTGAGCAGAATTTTTTGGAAGTGTGAGCAGAATTTTTTGGAAGCTTGTCGCTACAATTTCAGCACCATTTATTTCTGCTGTCAATCCGTCAAAGACATCCCTGGGTGACACAAATGGTTTCCTCTCAACAACTAACCTACAGGTTGGTGGATTGAATCCCCCTATCAACACTGCAGAACAAAGTGAGGGTCATCTGTTTCTGGGAGATGACAGTCAAGAAAACACTCGGTAGCAGTTCTATCCAGCCACACACAGGACCACCCCAATCTTTCAAAGGCAAATGAATGCATGCACCTGCTCTCCAACTTCTCCCCGCCCAGATGAGTGACGAAGACAGGTTGTTGTTGTTAGGTGCCGCTGAGTCAACTCTAGAACAGAACAAAACACTGCCCAGTCATGGCACTGACTCAATCCATCTCGATGAGTCTTCCTAGTTTTTCGGACTCTGGTTGTGGCACTGTAGGATTAGCATTGGACTTCGAACCAGGTCGACAGTTCAAACACACCAGCTGCTCCTCAGAAATCCTGTAAAGGGTCACTCTGAGTCAGAATCAACTTGATGGCATTTAACAACTTTGACCTTCTCCCTAGACACTTGCGTGTTCCTCCTGGTAACAAGTCCAGACAAAGTACATGAAATGAAGTCTTGCCATCTTTGCTCCTAAGGTGCACTCTAGTTGAGCTTCGTCCATGACAGATTTGTTTGTTCTTCTGGCAGTCCATGGTATTTTGTCAATACTATAATTCAGATGCATCAATAATTCTTCAGTCTTCCTTATTCATTGTTCAGATATCAGATGCGTATGTTGTTGTTGTTGTTGTTGCTGTTGCTGTCAGGTGCCATCGAGTCGGTACTGACTTATAGTCACCCTATGCATGACAGAATGAAACACTGCCCGGTCCTGGGCCAACCTCACAGTCGTTGCTACGTTTGAGCCCACTGATGCTGCCACTGTGCCAATCCATCTCCCCAAGGTCTTGCTGTTTTTCTACGACCCTGCACCTTACCAAACATGATATCCTTCTTTAGGGACTGTCCAAAGTATGAGACACGAAGTCTGACCATCCTGGCTTCCAAGGAACCTTCTGGCTGTACTACTTCTGATACAGATAGGTTTGTTCTTTTGGTAGTCTAAGGTACTTTCAATATTCTCTTCCAACACCATAACTCAAATGCATCGATTCTTCTAGTCTTCCTGATTCACTGTCCAACTTGCAAATGCATATGAGGTTATTGAAAATACCATGGCTTGGGTGAGTCCTCAAACTGATATCTTTGCTCTTAAACACTTTCAGGAGGTCTTACACAGATTTGTGTAATGCGATACATTATTTGACTTCTTGACTTCAAGAGCTGCTTCCAATGATTGATCTAAGCAAAATATAGGCATTGACAACTTCAATCTTTCCTCCATTTATATGGATGTTGTTTATTGGTCCAGTGGTGACGATTTTTGTTTTCTTTATGCTGAGGTGCAACCCATACTTAAGGCTGTGGTGTTTGACCTTCATCAGTAAGTATTTTAAGTCCTCTTCACTTTCAGCAAGCAAGGTGGCAACATCTGTCTTTTGCAGGTTGTTAATGAGTCTTCCTCCAATTCTGATGCCACCTCATGCATATGAAGTGACTAAAAATACCATGGTGCACCTTAGTCCTCAAAGTGACATCCTTGTTCTTCAACACTTTAAAGAAGCCTTTTGCAGCAGATTTACCCAATGCAGTCCATAGGAAGGTAATGAAATCAGGAAGAGGTTGAGATCTGGATAAAACAGTAGGAATCCTATGGGACCTAGCTTTGGCAAGCTTTGCCTATGCCTCCAGGAGGCGGTGTTCTCCATTCCCTATAGGTAAAGACTTGCAGCAGGTAGTGTCGCGATTTCCACCTTTCCTCTTCAGCCCCATCACATTACCTACTGCTGATTCTCAGAAGAGCTCATCAAGTAAGACAGTAATGGCATACAACTCACACAGGTTCCTCTTTGGGGAACATTCAGAGCTTTGACACCTGCCTTCTATCTCTGGCTCCATCTACAGTCACATCTGTCTCATGACCACAATAAGTCAACTCACATGCTATGAGAAAAGGTTCTTTCAAACACACAAGCATGGTCATTGATGCCCTTGAACCAGCGATGATTATCCCGGTGTACCACAGACTCACCACTGCGTGGTACCACACATCTGCTATCATCATTCATTTACCGTCCTGAATAGGGCTCAGCTAATATGCTGTTACTATGCTCACCTACTAGCTGAAAGGTTGATGTTCAAGTTCACCTAGAGGCACCTCAGAAAGAAAGGACTGGGGACCTACTTCCCAAACCTCAGCCATAGGAAGCCCAGTAAAGCTCAGCTTTAGCTGGGCACTCATGGGAAGTCATGTGTCAGAAGCAACTCAGTGGCCACTGACTTTTTTTTTGGAGGGGGATGGGGAGAAAAGGAGGGCAGTCTGAAGCACAGGTTGGTAACCTCTGTTGTAAATCAAGGTTTGACTTTTACAATGACTAAACTTCAGTAAATACTTATGACTGCATAAAACAGTGTCAGACATATAAGGTGAATGAATGAATGAATGAATGAATGAATGAATGAAGAGAAAAGCAATGGGATTCAAGAACTCAAACTTGAAAAGAATCCCCGTGATAACTCCTTTGACCTTTCCAATACCAAATTATCTTCTGCTTTGAACTTTTTGTTTGCACTATGTGTATTCAGCAATGGAAGGTATTTTGAATGATAATGAAAAAAAAAAATTTTTTTTTTGAGGTAATAAGGATGTTGATATAATAGTAGGATACATATGTCCCAAGGGATCTCTTGTGTTGGAGCTGATGGAATGAGACTCGTGTCTTCAGACTCACATAGTTATAGAGCAGCCCCCCTCCACTACCAAATGGTGTCATGCTTTAAAAGTGGGCTAACAGCTTTTGTAGGGGACAGAAAATGTAGGGGACACACTGAATGTCCTAGGGGTTATGAAAGGATTAAAGAGGGATCCTTTAAAGGATATGTAGAGGACTCCATATGTGTTTGAGTGCGACCAATTAAGAGTCTTCATTTGCTTTTCACACTTGATGAAGCCACCCCACAAGCCCATTCACACCAAGACGCTTACCCCTTCGGAACCCAGAGACCCCAACCTGGAGGAAACCAGGTCCATACAACACCCACCAAGACAGTACCTGGTCTCCTTCCATCATTTCCATCCCCCCTGTGATGAAGAATAGCAAACACTCACGCCATGAGGAAGATGCCTCCGGTGTTGGAGACGCAGCCCCTGGTGGTTGGAGTGGCGTGCTTGTCATAGCCACAAATGCCACACAGTAACCCCAGGAAGTAAAATGTCACAATGAGGGTCAGCAGGCAACAGACAACCAAGCAGCCCAGCCACCTGGTGGAGGAAGCACAGCGCCATTAGACTTACAGGAGGAGATGGCGTCATGGTAACCAAGACAACATTCACCCTAGAAGCAGTCAGCAGCATTAGTCAGCCAGGTTCCACTCTGAGCTCCTCAGAGGGGGAGGCTGCTATGAAAAGATCTCTTCCCAGCTACACTTCCCAACCCAATCATGTCAAGAAACTTATTTTTAAGTCCCTGGATGGTACAAATAGTTAAGCACTTGACTACTAGTCAAAAGGTTGGCAGTCCAAACCTACCCAGAAGCACCTTGGAAGGCAGGCCTGGTGATCCACTCCTAAAAGGCCACAGACTTGAAAGCCCTATTGAGCAGTTCTACTCTGCAAACATGGGGTCGCCATGGGTCAGAATCAACTCAGCGGCAACCAACAACAACATTGGTTTAGGCACCCCTAGGTGAGTTGGTGCCACGCTATAGGATAAGCAGTGGACCGCAAGGTCGGTTTGAACCACAAGGTCGGCAGTTCAAACTCACCAGCAGTTTCTTGCAAACCCTATACAAGGTTGCTATGAGTAGGCACTAACACAACAACACTTAACAATAACAAGAAAGTGTTCTGGTAGCGTAGTGGATTACCAGTAGCACTGAGGGAGAAAGGTGAGACTTTCTACTCCTGTAAAGATTTATAGTTTTAAAAACCATATACAGGGTCGTTATGAGTCAGAACCAACTCAATGGCACAAAACCACCTACACTACCAGAAGTCCTGGTGTGGCACTGTAGGATAAGCACTGGATCGCTAACCACAAGCTCGGCAATTCAAACATACCATCTGCTCGCTCCTTTGGAAACCCTATGGAGACAGGGTTGCTATGGGTCAGAGCCACTGGGCGGCACTTAACAATAACAGACTGACTCTTTTCAAGTACACTTCCCATGTGGATAACCTTTAGCAGATTACAGAGTGACTTGTTTCTACTTCAGCTGTGAAGCACTTCTCTCAAAGGTCATGGATGTACTGTCCACTTTGAGACCCACTGGCGACACAGTGAATAAAGCACTTGGCTGTTAACCAAAAGCGAGCTGGTTTGAACCTGTCAGCCACACAGTGGGAATAAGAGGAAGCGGCCTACATCCATAAAGATTTAAAGCCTTGGAACCCTATGGGGTATTTCTACTCTGTCCTCCAGCGTCAGCTTGAGGCCAGTGGGTTTGGTTTCTGTTCCAGGTTATGAATAGGTACCACAGACAATGCCGACTTGATTTCTCCAAGCCTACTGATAAACTCCCGCTGTGGCGCTGTGAGTTAATGCGCTAGACAGCAAAATCAGCAGCTTCAGCTCATCCACTGCTCCTCGGAAACCCCATACAGGGTCACTATGAATGAAAACTCACTCAACGGCCCTTAACAACAATAATTTTCAGTCCTTTCCAAGTTCCCCATACTGTACCTACGTCTTATAATGACAACATATGAATACATCAGGACCAGACTACAAATCAAGAAATCTCATTTCAAATCTCTTTACAGATTGACAGAGCTCTTTTCCCCAGACTTTATCTAAAATAATCTGTGCTTGCAGAAATATTTGGGGGGTGTTGTGCTCTTTCCTGAACCAGAAATGCGTTACGCGGTTGGATGCACTGACTTTTTAGAATTTTACGAACATCCTAAATCAAATGCCTGCAGAATGCAAATCTCAGTTTTAAAAATGGGACTGTGAGCTGGCAAGACCTGGTAGAACCTCAGTTAGCCTAACTGGCTTTCCCAGAGCTTACGCCAACGTTTCCCAGCAGTGAGGAGCATTCGAGGGGAGAAACACTTCCCAACATCTGACGGCTCTGGGATACAAAGAACCCATTTCTGCTCAGCGCCTCGTGATAAAAGTCAGCATCAAAGCCGTTCACTCAATTAAGGACAATCTTGGCCATTGTAATAGCGAGCAGCAACCTTTCTGTGGAAGTCTCTTCCAGATACTGAGCACTCAGAATTAAATAACTCAAAAAGTGCCTGGTCTCCAAAAGCTTTTAGCGTTAATGAGAACCTCACTCACGTCAGTTGGATTTCTTTTAAAAATAATCTTAGAGTCCTGAGGGCACAGGGAGGCAGACACGGTGTGGGGAATATGTTGTTGTTGTTGTTAGGTGCCGTCGAGTAGGTTCCAACTCATAGCGACCCTAGGCACAACAGATTGAAATTCTGCTCAGGTCTGTGCCATACTCATAATCGTCACCTTTGAACCCAGTGGAGGGAACATGTAGGCCTATAACTGCACCAGTCTCTCTCATCTGTGGAGTTCCGATTGCTAAGGAGATTGGACACTCACTGAGAAAGTATATGTCTCATGTTTGTCTCCATACTCACTGAGGAACATGACTGAAGTCCCTTGAAACTTGCTGATTACAAGGAATGGTCACATGGGGGTTAGAAACCCATCCTAACTTCACTCTAACCAGTATTAAATAATTTGCTTCAATTCCTTCAGACATAATTTCCACATCTGTAACGGGAGTCCTGGTGTGGCATTGTGGGTTGATGCACTAGACCGCAATGTCAGTTTGAACTGAAAGGTCAGCGGTTCAAGCTCACCATCCGCTCCTTGGAAACCCTATATAGGGTCGCTATGGGTCAGAACCAACTCGATGGCACTTAACAACAACAACAACACTCGGAATCCTTGGGTGATAAAAATGGTTAATGCACTCAGCTGTTAAAAAAAGGTCGGCAGTTTCAGTTCACCTAGAAGCACCCTGGAAGCAAGCGCCTAGCTTCTTCTGAAAGATCAGCCATGGAAACCCATGAATAGCAGTTCTACTCTGACCCATATGGGGGTGCTGCACTGATTTAAAGGGTACACAAAACAAAACCAAAAGAGTTACGGATGAGTTGATTCGATTTCTGGCAATCCCATGGGTGCAGAGAACTGCTCCACACAGTTTTCAAGGCTGAGACCTTTCAGAAGCAGGCCATCAGGCCTGTCTTCTAAAGCACCTTGAGGTGTCAAGTTCTTAGCCATGGCACCACCCACCCAAAACTACTAAACTGAAAGCTGTCGAGTGGATTCCAACGCATAGGGACTGCAGGTGAGAGAGCAGAACTGCCCCCACAGGGGTTCCAAGGCGGTCATGGAAGAAGTCTGCCACGTTGTTCTCCCACTGAGAAACCTCTAACCTGACAGGTATTGGCGGAGCACTTAGCCACGCCCTCCAAGGACTCCAGAAAGGATACAGAGCCCCAGGGATTTTGTGAGATGGGGAGTCCTGGTGTGGAGGTGTAGGATCAGCTCTGGACTGATAACCACAAGGCTGGTGGTTCAAACTCACCAGCTGTTCCTTGGAAACTCTACAGGGTCACTGAGTCAGAACTGACTTGACCACACTTAACAAAGGAGCTGGCACGCTTTAGTAAAATATTTGGCGAGCACACAGTAACCATCCTATAGATGCCTGCAACCACTGCTGTTGTTGTATTATTTGTCTGTGCTCTGGCATCATTAAGATCCTAAATGGGAACGAACATCTTTGGACTCTCCATGGGGCTGGACAGTAAGAATGGTTCTAGTGGCAAGGCACACGGATGAGCACTTCAAAGGGCGTGGAGCTTACAGCTCACATGACCCTCTAAATTTCTCCAGACTCAAATCCTTGCCTCTCTAGCATCTGTTTCTGCCATCAACTACCCCAGCCACACCCCACGAACATTCACACCAATGGACAAACCACCTCTGAGTTGACTTTTTTGAGCTATTTGCAGACGTCAAGACATGGCTTAGAAGAGAATGCTCTTTCATTAAGAACCAATCTGCAGGCATCTATCTTATAACCAGGTTCATAATTAAGTATTATCCAGATGTCCTTCCTAATTACTTTTAAGGTTTCAAATCATGTGACATGTCCAGCTTGACCAATACAACTAAGATTATAGGAGCCACTAAGTTATGGTGTTGAAGGAGAATACTGAGAGTGCCATGGGCTGCCAAAAGAACCAACAGATCTGTGTTGGAAGAAGTGCAGCCAGAGTGCTCCTTAGAGGTCAAGATGGACAAACTTCATCTCTCATACTTCAGACATATTGTCAGGAGGGACCAGTCACTGGAAAAGGATATCATGTTTGGTAGGGTGGAGGGTTGGAGAAAAGGAAGAAGACCCCCAGCGAGATGGATTGGCAAAGTGGCAGCATCAATGGACTCAAGTGTGACAACAATAGTGAGGTTGTCCCAGGATGGGGCAGTGTTTCGTTCTGCTGTGCATAAGGTCACTATGGGTTGGTACCGACTCAATGGCACCTAACAACAACAATGACATACGGAGTCCTGATGTGGTACTGCGAGTTAATGCGCTAGACTGCAAAGTCAGCTAGAACTGCAAGGTCAGTGTTTCAAGATCACCAGCTGCTCCTCGGAAATCCTATACAGGTGACTGTGGGTCAGAACCGACTGGACAGCATTTAACAACAACAACAACATCTAAATTGCAAAGTACTGAATGTTTAGCACAAGAATGGCTAAACTTTCTAAGTGAACATAAACTATGGTGAAAACATGCCAGCTATGGCTTCTTTAAGGAGCTCTGGTAGCGCAGTGGTTACAAATCGGGCTGCTAACCTCAAGATCGGCAGTTCGAAACTACCAACGTTTCTGCGGGAGAAAGATGAGGCACTCTGCTCCCATAAAGATTTACAGCCTTGGAAACCCTGTGCAGGGTCACTATGAGTCGGCACTGACTCCACGGTACTTAACAACAACAATGGCTTCTTTGTACAACTGTTACCCATAAGATAATGTACCCATAATGATCCTGATGATAATATTAATATTGATCCCTTCTGTACAAGCGGTACCCATAATGTAATGTACCCATAAGATTATCCGGGTGATAATTTCAATGTTGATCCCCTCTGTATACTCGGTACTGATAATGTAATGTACTCATTAGATTATCCTGGTAATATCAATATTGATCCCCTTTCATCCCATTCCTAGTTTACTGGATCAAAGCAGACACTCACCTGTAAGAGTCATAGTCTTCCACTGTGAGCAAATAGTGGTGGATGTAACTTTCCGTTTCATTAATATAACCCATGAAATGTGATAATGTGTCCTGTATAGGGACCTGATTGGTAACATTTGAGATATTTGAACCAATGGAATCCAAGACCCTTCTGACATCTAAAAACAAAAATAACTCGGTTATGCATTTGCAAATATGGATAAAACCGAAGCTTTTTATTGGAACCAAATGGCAAAGCTTGAACCCCTTTCAGCTTCTGCCATATTATGAGTGTTCTCAGAATATGACAGGGTTCCACAGCAAGCATGAATGGAGCCAAAGCTGTCAAGAAGCAATTATTTAACAATAGAGCAAGCTGTGAGCACCTACGTAATGAATGATATGAGGGGGAAGACAAGCCAGAGTTTTCTTTTCCTACTTACATCGTTAAGAAACCAGGTCAGACCATTAAAATGTGCAGTGTGCTTACTATGTGCCAAGGACATTTATAAATGTTAACCTCTCTGTTCTGCTAATCCGTCTCTTCTGTCAACTCGTCTGTTTTCTTAACTCGTGTTCTGTTAGCACATCTGTCCTGTTAGCACATCTGTTCTGTTAATTCGTCTGTTCTGTTAACTCATCTGTTTTGTTAGTACATATGTTCAGTTAACACATCTGTTCTGTTAGCACATCTGTCGCGTTAGCACATCTGTTTTGTTAACTCGTCTGTTCAGTTAGCTAGTCTGTTCTGTTAACTCGTCTGTTTTGTTAGCACATCTGTTCTGTAAACACATCTGTTCTGTTAGCACATCTGTTTTGTTAGCACATCTGTTTTGTTAACGCGTCTGTTCAGTTAGCACATCTGTTCTGTTAACTCGTGTTCTGTTAGCACGTCTGTTCTGTTAACTCAATGCTTTGTTAACTCCCCTGTTCAGCTGAGATGTATACTCTTATTCCATTATACTAACAGTAACCCTGACCCTCACAGAGGCTAAATCACTTGCCTGTGGCTTTCTTTTGTAGAAGGTAGAAGTTAGTCTCCAACTTACAACATGTTGGAGTTACAATGAACCACACTATGACTATCCTTTTTTAGTACATCTTATCGTTAGTAAAGGAGTCTTGGTGTGGCACTGTATGATAAGCACTGGGCCACAAGGTCAGTTTAAATCAAAAGGTTGGAAGTTCAAACTCACCAGACACTCCTTGGAAGCCCCATTCAGGGTGGCTAGAGTTGGAAACAACTCGATGGCACTTAATAACAACAACATCGTTAGTAAAGGAGTTCTGGTAGCATCATGGAGTTACACATTGGGCTGCTAGCTGCAGGTTCAACAGTTCAAATCTCCCAGCCACTCCACGGGAGAAAGATGAGGCCTTCTACTCCATGAGTCAGAACGGACTTGACGACATGCAGCAGTTGTTGTTACTGTTGTTGTTGTCAGGTGGCATCGAGTCGGGACTGACACATTGCAACCCTATGCACACAAAAATGAAACACTGACCGGTCCTGGGCCAACCTCACAATTGTTGCCATGCTAGAGCCCAATGATGCTGCCACTTTGCCAATCAATCTTGCTGGAGGTCTTCCTCTTTGTCTCTGACCCTCCATCTTACCAAACATGATATCCTTCTCTAGCAACTGGTCCCTCCTGACAATATGTCCGAAGTATGAGAGACAAAGTCTGGCCATCCTGGCCTTCAAGGAGCACTCTGGCTACACTTCTTCCAACACAGATCTGTTGGTTCATTTGGCAGCCCATGGCACTTTTAATATTCTCTTTTAACACCGTAATTCAATTGCATCAATTCTTCTACGGTCTTCCTTATTCGTTGTCCAGTTTTCGCATGCATATGAGATTACTGAAAATACCATGGCTTGGGTCAGGCGCACCTTAGTCCACAAGCTGACATCTTTGCTCCTCAACACTTTAAACAAGTCTTGGACAGCAGATTTGCCCAGTGTAATATGTCGTTTGATTTCTTGCCTGCTGCTTCCTTGAGTGTTGATAGTTGATCCGAGAAGAATGAAGTCATTGACAACTTCAATCTTTTCTCCATTGATAAGAATGTTGTTTATTGGTCCGGTGGTGAGGACTTTTGCTTTCTTTATATTGAGATGCAATCCATACCGAAGGCTTGTGCTCTTTGATCTTCATCACAAGTACTTTTAAGTCCTCTTCACTTTTAGCAAGCAAGGTTGTATCATCTGCATATTGCAGTGGTTAATGAGTCTTCCTCCAATCCTGATGCCACATTTTTCTTCATATAACTCAGCTTCTCGGATTATTTACTCAACATACAGGTTGAATAAGTATGGGGAAAAAATACAACCTTGTTGCACACCTTTCTTAATTTTAAA